AGCTTGAGCTCCCTGGATTTCGCTGCTGGAGCTCCCTGAATCTCACTGACAGAACTCTCTAGGATCGCACTGCTGGAGCTCCCTGGATCTCACTGCTGGAGCTCCCTGGATCTCACTGCTGGAGCTCTCTGGGATCTCAGTGCTGGAGCTCCCTGGATCTCGCTGACAGAACTCTCTAGGATCTCACTGCTTGAGCTCCCTGGATCTCGCTGACAGAACTCTCTAGGATCTCACTGCTTGAGCTCCCTGGATCTCGCTGCTGGAGCTCACTGCCAGGTAGGACTGAGAGCACCGAACAAAAGGCTTGGCCCCACGAGTGGAGGATGGTGGAGCTGGGAAGGATGGGGTGATGCCAGGAAAGTTCCAGCTGCTGTGACTGGCAGCTTTTCCCTTTGAACCTTTTCAGAGCCGTGTGGTTTCCCAGCCAGCTCAATAAAGTGCTGCTGCTGTTGGGATGTTCACCTCCTGCATTTTAATTGCATGGTGAATAGAGAAGAGGCTGCAGAGGAGAAACACGCTCCTGGAAAGCTCCTTGCCATCACATCCTTGCATGCTTGGAGGGGTTTTATAGCTTCCTTGCTCCAAAAAGCTGAAAGAAATGCTCAAATTTGATGTGTTTTCTTGCCCTCCTGTAATCTTGCTTGACAGTTTTTCCTTGGGATTTTTAATTCACAGTTTCAGTACAAGCAGGGACACGTGTGGGGATTATATAAGCTTGGGGAAGCTGGTGGGAGACTGGCTCTATTTCTGGGCAGGCATGAAAATCAGGAGTTCTGGAATGGTTTTGTGGAAGGTGTTTGCATAGGTGCCCGTGAGTACCGTGGGTGTTTTTATTCCTGAGAAAAGGCGCTTTCTCGGAGCTGTGAGCTGGAAGGGAAGGAGAGACCAGCGGTGCTTGGAGTAAAATGGTTGCTAGTTGCTGAAATAAGCTTAGGCGAGAAGCACCATTCGAAGGAAAATGAATCCATTTTGGGAGAAAATGGAATTATGTTCTTTCTGTCTTCCTGCAATCTCGGTGGAGCAGAGAAACCTGAACACATTCCTGCTGGAAGGGCTGATTTTGGTGTGTGTTTCCAGGTCTGTAACAGCACGCAGCAATCTCGTAGAATTGCTGTTCTCTAGTATGACTGGAACAAGCAGAGAAATATGATACAAGGAGGAGATTTTCTGCAAGGAATTCCTGCTGACTGTCATTTCACTCAGCATTTGGCAGTGTCACTGATTGCTGCAGCAGCTCCAGGCTGGATTATTTTTTCCTTAATCGCTTTACAAAGCAGTCAGATATTCCCTTCTCCTCAGAGTGTGGTCATGGCTGTCTAATTAACAAAGATCCTCCTCTTTTAGGGAGATTTTTAGTTTCCAGAAAAATTCTATTTGGTTTCCAGCCGGCGTTCCTTCTCCGACTGGGTCTGTAATAGCTCCCGAAATTCCCCAGCTTGTAATCACTGCTGCAGCCAGATGGGGACTAGGTGGAACTCCCATTGCATCTGTGCCTGCATTTATGAATCTGCCAGAAGTATCTCGCTTAGGTGAGATTTTAAATATATATTTCGTGAGTTAATGAGCCCTGAACAGCGATGAGGAGAATCCAGTGCTGGTACTGCCAGTGTTGCTGTTCTTCTCCTGGATCCTGGCATGATGCTGATGAAGCAGGGAGAGCTCTAAGGAGTCATTCAGCCTGACATGAGCAAAGCAGAGGCTGCAGCTCCACTTTACCAACCTGATGGTGCTTTGAGAGGTTCTTCTTGGATTTAACAGGGTCTCCTTGCTCCTGCTCTTCTGCTTCATTGCTCTCCTCGTCTTTTCTCCCTGTGGAAGGAGCTCTGAAAACTGTGAGGTTTGGATTATCTTTATTTTTTCCCCCTCCTCCCTCTCCCTTCCCACGCTTCTGAATGATTTTGGAGCATGGTTGCACAAATCAGTGATGTTGGTGGCAGGATATAGGGGAGGAAGAGGGGGAGGGACGGCACAGGATGCTCCTGAATTGGATCTCAGCATGGCAGGGCAGTAATACGAAAGAGCTCAGGGTGTCCTGGTGTTCCTGGCTCTGATGAATCCAGTGCTGCAGCAAGGCTGGGCTGGCTGGACTTCAACTCCTGCACTTGCTTGTGTATGCTGGGGCAGCCTGAGGGCAGCGATCCCGAGGCTTGTGCTGCATTCTGGGATGTGCAGCCCCAGTGGCACCAAAATCTGTGTGTATGAGAGCAGATGAGTGAGTGCCCTGGGGGTGGTGTGGATGTGGATGTACGGATGGGATGATGCTGCTGGATGAGGTTCTGCTTCCCACCTGCCTGCCCTGACCCGTTCACCTCCCTTGGTGGAGTATCCATGCTGTCACTTAACCCGTTCCCAGGAGAAGAGCCTCATCAGTACGAGTCATGATGAACTTTGCTGTCACCCTGGCTCCCTTCTCCCACAGTAACAGCAGCTGTTATACCAGGACAGGCTCCTTTGGCAGGTGGAGGGAGAGGGAAGATGGTGGTTTCCACTGGGGAGCAGGAACAAGCTCCAAGAAGCTTGGTGGGAACCAGGAGCCTTTCCACTTGCCCAGCTCCTCTCAGGGAAGCTGGAACCTTTCCACTTGCTCAACTTCTTGCAGAGAGTCAGTCTGTGGATGCCACAAGTTGGATACTGGAAATAATCACTTTCTCCAACCATTATTTCATTAAGACTTGCTGGAATTTAAGGCATTTTGTTTCTATCAGTCTTGTGTCCAGGTCAAATCCTTTGGCAAAAACGACTTAAAAGGTTTCTTCTGGATCTGACAAGAATCATCCCTTTCTAGGAGAGATCTTAAACAGTGACTCCAAACTGCAAATCCATCTATGCTGCTCCTTCCTTCAGGCAGCTCTTCCTGGGTGCAAAAAGAGTGGTTGCTCTGCTCAAAGGAGATTATTTCCTCCTGACTTATATAAGTTCTAAAATAAGAATATAAATCCCAACCTTGTCAAGGATGAAACTGTTTTTCCAAGCTCAGGAACGATCCCTTTTGAAGCAGCAATTGCTTCAATGAATTGCCAGGAGTGCCTGGAGAAGGGAAATCTCAGCTGTGACACAAGGGGGGCAGCTCCATCCTGGGCCTCAGGCTGTCATCCCTGTCATAAGGATGTTCTGGGGGAGAGGGAATGGTGCTACAGCAGGAAATTCGAGTTTTCATTCCATCTCCCAGTGTGTTTTTACTCCTTCTCTCTCAGATTTTGGCTTTGTTGTTGTTTTCCAAAACTTGGCGGTGAATGCAAGATCCTTGGGATGAAGGCTGGGAGTAACTCTGAAGTTTGTGACAAATCTTACTGTTGTTTGGCTGGATCAGGGTTTAAATCCTATTTGGTTGTTAAAAACCTCTCTATTTATCAAATGACACTACTTGGGCCTGAGCTGACAGATAAGCCTTAGAGCCTGCAAATGAATTCTTGCCGTCATTAAAAAAAGGCAAAAAGAGATGTAGAGTGAATGAGCACCGCCCTGGGCACCAGTGGGGCTGGGTCCCCTTCCTGGTTCTCCTGCCCCGGAGCTGGCCTTGGGCTGTCACCTGCCAGGGCGACAGGCCAGGGCCTCCCTGCAAACGTGCTGCAAAGGTCGGGGCTGGGCTCTTCCCAGCATAATCCCATCAAGCAGCTTTTTATTGTGTCTGGTGCTCAAACATTGAATATATAACAAAACTGAGAAGTTTTAGAGCAATTTCTGAGCCTGTTTGGTGAGGAGGAGCTTTGTAGTGACAGGTTCAGAGCCAGAGCAGAGCAAGATTGTAAATTTAATTCTCTGGGTTTCTGATGCTATAAATTTGCCTCAGCACTGCTGGAGGAGGAGCTGATCCAGCTGGGATGTGCTGTGAGCAGTCAGCAGGAACGCAGAGCAGGTTGTGTCTGAACAATCCTTACTTCAGCCTTAGCATTTGGTCCATTTTAAGGGGAATAGTTGGGATTGTGGAGCTTGGGGTGGCTGTTGAGTTGTGTCAGCACTGCCAGGGTCTGTCCTGTCACTGATGTTGGTCCCAGAAATGTTTTGGGCAGCAGCATTAATCTGGGGTGCAAAGAAAATTCGACTCAATCTAATTTGGGCTCAGAATTTAATTTAGCAATGTGCTTTGCCTTGTTAGAATAAAACTAAGAAGTGTTTTAATTATTTTCTTTTCAAGTATCCCACCATGTTAACACATGAGGTCTTTGTCCTTCCATGTATGCAAGAACCGCAGTCAATCCAACTCTTCTCATTTCCCATGAAATTTTGATGTGTAAAATATAAACAACAAAAAGTGAAATCCGATTATGGCGTTTAGGAAAATTTTTCAGCAAGTGCCTTTTCCATGACAGTGGGCATTGGGTATTGTCTAGATCTGTGTGAGGCCACAAAGTGTTACCCAAGTCAGACTTCTTTATTCTTATGGATCCCTGCATCCCCCTATTTTATTCCACAAATAAACCAGATTCTGTTGTGGGGATTTTTTTGTGCAGTTTTTTTCTCCTTTTTTCCCCCCTTAGATTTCCACAATGCTTTTACATTTAAAAAAACTCTTGCAATTTGCCTTTAAGTCACCCTGCAGCAGCTCCTCAAAAGCTCCTATCCCTCTGACAGCCCTTTCTTTTGGTGGGCGGATGAGGAAAGGAGTCACTGGGTGAAGAGATGCAAACAAGGAAACAATTCCAGCAGGATTCCTGCGTGGTTAGCAGAACAGGAGCTGCCATTGTCCGGCCGGGCCCTGCTGATCCGCAGGATTTGTCTGCTGAATGCCGAGGGCCTGTGGCTTCAGGGGTTTTTCCCTTTCAAATAAAAGCAGAGGCGGGGGACGCTCTTGACAGAACCAAGGTTTTGTGGATTATTCGGTGAGGAGTTTGCGTTGGTTCCCTCTTTCCTAGTGTGGGGGCAGCTGCCTCTGGAGCCGCGGGAGATCCTGCGGGATCCGAGCTGCCAGGCCCGGGGCGGGGTGTCCCTGGGGTGTTCCTGGGGCGTCCCCAGAACGGCCCTGCCTTCCACGCTACTTTCCTTGACTCGCTGTGTTGCAGAATCCCCCGAGGTCCTGTCCAGCAGCCTCTGGAGGATCGGATCTTCACTCCGACCGTCTCGGCTGTGTACAGCACTGTGAGTATCTGCCGCGGCTGGGGCAGTGCGAGGGGATCGGGGATGTGCAAAACCCCAGTGCAACCAGAAACTGCACTTAGAAATGGTACACTGCAGAGAATGTAACTTCTTTTTGCCCTCTGAAATAAATGGTGCTCAAAAAGACCCTCTTGGTTGCATGTGAGTAAAAAGAGGAGGGGGGGCCCTCTGGCTCTTCACAACTCCCTGACAGGAGGGTGCAGCCGGCTGGGGGCCAGGTTGTGCTCCCAGGAAACAAGGGCAGGACAAGGGGACACAGCCTCAAGTTGTGCCAACGGAAGTTCACATTGGATATTGGGAAAATCTCTTCACTGAAAGCATGCTCAGACATTGGCACAGGCTGCCAGGGCAGTGGTGGAGTCACATCCCTGGAAGTATTCAAAAGATGTGTGAATGTGGCACCTGGGGGCGGGATTGGGTGGGCATTGGGATATTGGTTGAACACTGGGCTTGATCTTGGAGGTCTTTTCCAACTTTAATAATTCTATGGTTTTATGAAGAACCTTTTTTTGTTGCATGGGAGCAAGAAAGGGAGAAATCTTTAGAGGACTTTTAGGCCCATTGCTGTTTTTAAATGTCTCTAGTTTTCTTTAGCAAATTGAAGAGTGTGTTTTCCCAGTAGTGTCACTGGAATGACAGCTTGGATGGCTCCATCTCTTTCCTTTCCTCTGCATCTCACAGACTGATTATTTGTGTACTATTGGCTTCACATTTCTAATACCTTCTTATGAGAAAAATGATCAAGAAAAATTTGTTTTTGCATGAAACATTCCAATGCACAGAGGAAGAAATATTTTTATAGTAAATAGAATATTTGGGATAGATGCCTTTGGCTCACTGTCCTAGATGATTGCTAATGTATAATATTGATTATTGTAGAAATTTAGCTTAGAAACAGTGATGTTTATATATGAACATGATAGTCTTTTCCTTTTATTCACTTATTTTTTTCCAATGGCAATAGCTGGAAGCTCAGGGTTATTTATAAGCTTTGCTAAATCAGCACAGCCCTGGGAAAGTAATATTTTGCTTTTCTGGTTAGGATAGTACAAATATTTTTAATGCCAAAAAACCCTGCTTTTAAGCTGCTCTTTTAATTATTTGGAAAACAGGAAGAAAAGCTGTAGATGGGATAAATTCACTATGTTTTATGCAGGAACATAAGCTGCTGTGCAAGGTTTTCTCCTTCTCTGTTTGCAGGAGTGACTGGGGATGGAGTTCTTAGCTCTAGTTCCCTGGGGGCACCTGGAGCATCTCTTACCTAGAGCAGCTGTGGCTGCCCCTGGATCCCTGGCGGTGTCCAAGGCCAGATTGGACAGGGCTTGGAGCACCCTGGGATAGTGGAAGGTGTCCCTGCCCATTGGACAAGATGAGCTTTTAAGGTCCCTTTGAACCCAAACCCTTCTATGAACATAAGTGTACAAACAGTTATAATAAATAATTCAGTTTATATTATCTTTTATATACCATATACAACACTTAAAAAACACTTTAAAAATATCTGAAGTCTTTTAAGAAGGTTATTATTTTCAATTCTTATTTCCCAAGATAAAATGCAGATGCCTGTGGGGAAAATATGACTGTAAAAATTTAAATCAATGTAAAATAGAAAAGTAACTGTGAAGAATGACCTAAAATAGCTTTTCAGTGTGGAAAAATATCACTCCTTGCTATGTAACAGGAATAGAACACAGGGCTGAGAATATCTCAGCCCAGGATTTGAGAATGCACAAGTTTGAGAGAAAATTTCAAGTTTTGGGGAGAGAAATTTCTCGGGTGGGTTCCTTTCAGGCTTCCATTTGAAGCCACAGGCAGATTTCAGATTCAGAGGGAGTCCAGGGAAAAATGAATTGGGATGGAAAAAGCACATGATGGGAGGGCCTTGACAAATTCATTCATGAAAGGTCTCAGTGGCTTGTTACACAAGGAACAGCACCATGTGTTTAAGGCCTGGTTTGCATTAAACAGTCATTTTTTATTTGATGATTTTGATACAATTTATCTAGATTTTACAAAAATCCCCTAAATGAAAGTGAGGGAGAGCAGTATCAGATCACAGAATAGTGAAGGTTGGAAAAGGCCTCCAAGATCTTCAAGTTGAACCTTCAAGTGCTTCCTCAGTACCCGAGGCTGCTTTTTCCCATTGGCATTTTATTCACTTGCACATCCTCTGTGGGCTTCATGTGGATTATGGATAGGGTTTCCAGAGATGTGTGTTTTGTCAGAGCATGGCTGGTGTGGGAGGAGGTCTGGGGTCCATAACCACCACGTGGTGACTCTTGAGCGGCTTCCCTGTACATCATGTATGGGGTGGGAGGGAAATCAATTGAGATGTGGAAAACCCACAGATGAACCCCCAATTTTTAGTTAGATAAAGATGAAAAATAATTCAATTATCCTTTCCATGCCTTTCTACATGCATTATCAGAACCTTGGTTGAACATTCCAGAGGTCTTTTTTTCCCACAGCTACAAAAATGAGAATGGAAAATCGTGTGGCTTCCACTATGAGTCCCAATAATTAAACTGAATCTGAGGAACAAGTTTTCCTGTAGTATAGAGGTAGGAGGTGAGGAAGAGGCCAAGTGGGATGAAGTTTGCGTGAGAACTTGGAGATGCTTAAAAATCACGACAAGGCTTTGGTAGAACCTCTTTATCAAGGAAGTCATACTGTCGTTAAAACCAAATCCACCTAAATTCATCATAAGTCATCTTTATTTATTTATTGTGACATCTTATACTGAGTGGATTGTTGGTTTGGTTTTTTTAATAAATAAATCCAGCAGTAAAATTATTTGAAAGCAAACCACAGTTGGAAATAATTATTTCAATGAACTAACCTTGTAATAATTTTCCCTCATCAATAATGCAGAATGCTCTTTTGCAGAGCTACTTGTGGACATAAAGATTTGGGGGTTGTCCTGCAAACAGCTTCTTGCCTGGTGTTTCCTAATCCTCTACACTGCAAGAAATGATGGTGATTACTTATGTGGCCTCTGAAAGATCCCAAACCTGCTGAGCTCAGAAGGGGCATAAGAATGAAATTCTGTTTCTATTGTAAATTATTTCAAAGAAATATATTCAAGAGAGTATTTTGGAGTTTTTTTGGAAGATGTAGACCTCTAACAGGAAGGGAACTGCACACAAGGTGACTGTAAGTCTACCAGCCACCCCTGTACTGTGCCCAGGGGAATGGGGCTGAATCTGTGGAAAATGAGATTAATAAGCAGAAGCAGACATGCTCTTCAAATTCAGTATGAGACGCAGCTCTGGAATTGGATAAAAACAATAACAATGTTCATGGACATCCAGTTTTTGCACAAATAACTGTTTTTGGTAGGTTATCGTGGAGGTTTGTAACTGCTTTAATAGCAGTTGTGATTGGAAGTGCTGAAGCTTGGACCAAAACTACTCTGGGATAAACTTCCAAGGGCTGAGGAGCAACACTGAGGCCCTGAGCAATCTGGTCCAGTAGAAAGTACTCCTGCCAAAGGAATGGGATGAGTTAAAGGTCACTTTCAAACCAAACCATTCTGTGCTTCTGTGAATGACTTCTGGATGAGGAGTGAGTGTTAACAAGGTGCATTTGTGTGGGCAGAAGTCACTTGGTCAGGTGCAGCCTGGAACGGGCTCCCTGTGCGGGGCTGGATCCAATCCTCGAAGCCACTCGTTAATAGCTGTCCCCCATGTGCCTTTGGAGCAGGTACCACCTCCTGTCAGGGTGCCCAGCTCATGCCAGCTGGGGGCAAAGAAGGTAACAGGGAAGTGAGGTGCTGAAGAATCCCCTTGTCCCAGATTTTCAAGGACTAAGGGTTGACTGCATCATTCATTCTTGGGGTGTTTGGTTGTTTCCTGTCCTGGGGTGCCCATTGGTCCCCCCGAGTGTTTCACACCCAGCAGACGTTCTGTGATTCGCCTTTGTGCCCTTTAAAGGGATCTTCCTGCAGTGAAGAGAATCCTGTAGAAAAGGGATTAGGGAGGATAAGCTGCTCCAGCACCCTGTGCTTAAAGGAAGGATCTGGGTCAGGAGGCCGATGCCACCCCTGCCCAGCAGCGGCTGATGCGGAGGCTGTGGAATGTGCAGGAGAGAAGCTCAGTTCCTCATCCTGTTCCAGTCTAGAAACATGGAATGGTTTGGATTGGAACGGTTTTTGAAGCCCATCCAGTGCCACCCCCTGCCATGGGCAGGGACCCCTTCCACTATTCCAGGTTGCTCCAAGCCCCGTCCAACCTGGGCTTAGACACTTCCAGGGATGGGGCAGCCACAGCTTCTGAAGTACCTGAAACCAGGGACTTGGATGGGATAAAGAGAAATCCCAAACTTGTAGAAGATGCTAAACCGAAAAGGTGTAAAAGATCTCAGAAAGAAAAACAAGAATTCCAGGCTGAGTTTTTATTTTGTATTTCATTACCTGCTTCCTTTAAAATACAGGCTTAAGGCTTCTGGAAAACTAAAATTAGCTCTTGCTACTCAGGGAAAATAGGAAGTGATGCCCTAGCAAATGAATATGTAATTTTGTGCATCCATTTTTAGGAGAACAATTTAACCTATAGATTTAAGGAGGATATTTGTTTCTATAGTCATCTCAGACAGTTTAAGAAACAGCAAACCACACCCTGGGCTCTACAGGGGTGGGTACCTCAGGAGTGATGAGCATAGACAGTCTCTACCTTGTACCTTTGTTAAAAATTACTGAAAAACATGCAAATTCAGCAAGTTTGTCTTCCTTTACTACCTGCTTACATTAAAATCAGTATCTTATAATTCAGTTTATTTGTAAATAATTTGTTATAGGAAGTGGAAGGTGTGGAAACACCAACATTGCTGTAGCTGCTGAGAAAGGCTCTGTGCTTTTCCTTCTGCTGGACCAAACAGCAGTCCTTGGTTTAGATGCACTAAGCTAGACTTGGCTAACCTTAGGAGGTCCTGGAATATTATTGGTAGGCTCCTACAGGTTACTCTCCAAGTGTGCTGTTGCCAAACTATCAAGCTGGTACAGTTTTATAATTGTTCTGGTGCCTTCGTTAGGCTTTCAAGCCAATTTTAGTAGGTCCAGGCCTCTGTCTTTCGGTGTCCCCTGCACTGAATGAGGGTATCTCATGGACTTACTGAAGCAGCTTAGCTCTCAGCTCAGCTTCCAGATTTCAGATCCAATCATGAGAGCTTTCTTGATGTCTTTCAGTAAGCTCCAACTTAGGTTATTTTCCCCAAGGCAGTGCTGGAGTCACCATCTCTAGAAGTGTTCAGAAGGTGTGGGAATGTGGCACTTTGGGAACGTGGTTTAGGGGTGGACCTTGCAGTGCTGGGTTAATGGTTGAACTAGATGATACTGGAGGGCTTTCCAACCTTAGTGATTCTGACATTCTATTCCATTATTCTATTTGCATGTTATAATTTCTGAGGAGGAGGAGGAGGAACACTGCTGGATGCTTACACTGACCTGAGGAATTGGTAGTGCCCCTGTCCCCTTTGTTAAAGTCCTGTGTGGACTTGGTTGTTGTTGGATCGGAGGATTTTGGATGGCTCCAACCTTAGCTGGAGCAGTGTTTGCGCTGCTGAGAGTAGGGAGGTGAAAACTGGCAGTGGTTGAAGCCTCACAGCTGTCACAAAATAACCTCTATTTTCACCCAAGAAGTGCCATTCAAGGAGAATCATAGTGAGGAACACAGACACAACCTGCCACTGGGGTTGTTGATAGGAATGATTTCCTTGTATTTGCTTCTTCCCCTCCCTGACTGCATTATTTGATATCCATCACAGTCCGTAGTCACTTCTAAGTAGTGAGTGTTGCACGACTGACGTGACAACTCTCTCAGGGTTGATACAGGAGTCATGGGAGAGACTTTAATTTTCTCGGGGATGGGCTGTGGAAAGTTTTGTGGAGCTCTCTGTAAGGCTGGCCCTGATTCAGCTGAGGCTGCATGCGCAGTCCTGCCAAGAGAGATCAGCCTGAAAAAGAGATGATTCATCCCTGTCGAAGGGAAGGATCCAGTTGGGGACAGAGGATGAGGTACTGTGGCTGACCCACCCTTTCCTCTGATGAGCACTCGGGGGCTGTAAATCTTCCCACAGTGAAGGCTCCTGGCCCATTCCCAGGCCTGGAGCTGTTGTATATTGTGATTTCTTGGGATTTCGGTGCTGGCGCAGCTGCTGTGGTGGTTTAGGAGCTGTAACGACAGGCGTGGACTCTCTGAGTGCAATGAAGTGACTAGGAAAAAGCACTTAAGTGGTGAACTCCATGACTCCTGCTCTCTTGGATCTTGGAGCTAGTACTCGGTTAAAGGAGCCAGGAATTTCCCTTTGCCTTCTTTGCCCTGCTAAGGACATTAATACACACATAGGCCTGCGCAGTGCCTGTGACCTCTGTGGGCTTCAGGTGCCTTTAGCTCAGACTGAGGAATGTTAGATGGGATCTTGGGAAGGAATTCCTCCCTGTGAGAGTGGGGAGGCCCTGGCACAGAGTGCCTGGAGAAGCTGTGGCTGCCTCTGGATCCCTGAGTGTCTAGGGCCAGGCTGGACAAGGCTTGGAGCAATCTGGGACAGTGGAAGATGTCCTTTGCCATGGATGGGGGTGGCACTGGATGGATTTAAGGTCTCTTTTAACCCAAACCATTCTATGATTAAGTGGTGCTTTTCAGCAAACAAATAAGTGAGAAAATGTCAGTGAGAAGCAAATGCTGGATTTCAGTACTGTGAATTTTAAGCCAATCTGCCAAAATTTAATTGTGTTGAACAGCTGGAGGTGTCACCCAATAGCTGTGTGACTCTTTTTTTCCTTTGATTCCCCTTTTTTTTTAGTATAGGCACTCTCCAAAATATATTTAAAACAGTGCCATAATGGAGATAGTAAAGTGGAGCAAATATCTGTGTGCCGTGAAAACATTTTTCTAATATTTTGCTTAATGTGTTTTGCTGAGTATTTTTAATAGAAGTTGAGAAAGGAGATAAACGTATGCAAGAATTCCTTTGCTATTTCATTCTTTGCTTATGGCAAGCCCTGCAGATACCATGGCCTCTCTGCAGTCCTTTATTTTTCCTTTTTGGAGGGGAATATGCAAATTTCCCCCTTACTTTTTTGCTGGAAATCTGTATCCCCTTGCAAAATCCCAATATTTTTTATATGGTTTCTCATGGAGTGATCAGAAAGTCCCAGGCCTGAAGGCAAAGGGATCCCACACATTTCCATCGGTGACTCCAGCTGGTGCTGTGATTTTTTGATCCTTCCACATTTTCCTGAATCACATAAATAGTTAAATAACTTGTGCAGTGTTTCACTTAGATAAATATATATTATCTCTCTAGATATGTACAGTGGAGTCTCTGCAGACTGATTACTAATGTAATGTTTTACTAACAGTTTATCTCCACACAGGTAACACAAGTAGCAAGACAGCCGGGTCCTCCTGCCCCATCCCCTTACACTGCACATGAAATAAATAAGGGACACCCAAATCTTGCTGCAACGCCACCGGGACATGCATCGTCCCCTGGGCTCTCACAGGTAAGACCTGGCGTTGGAGCAGAGCATTCCCAGCCTCCCCCTTTTCCTCCTATCCCATTCTCAGCTTCTCTGCTCAACAAGTAACTGAGTTGTGTTGTCTGTGACTAGTGTAGAAATAAAGTGAATTAAAGGTGTGGCTTGAACCTCTCAGTGACCTATTGGCAGCCCTTAATTAGCACACCAATACAATAAATTGATATTTATAAATTAAATACAAGTTCATTTGACATTTGTTGCTCATGGAGTCTGTAACAGAAACTAAAAGCAACTTGAAAAAGTAGAGAAAATAATCATGGATGAGGAGGAATGTGTTTTGCTTTTTGCAGGCAGTTTGAGGCATGGCCTGACTTTCAGGTTAAACACCCTAGAAGTACCCTGTGTCCTCTCTCCGGGATTTTCCAAGAGAAGTTTTGTACAAGATGGTGCAGTTCTGTAAATCTAATAAATGGGTCAGGAAAACGAGTTGCACGAATGATTTCTCATAAAAGAGATGAGAAAAAAGGGCTGGTTACAGAAAAGTCCGGAACAGGAGATAAATGAGGGTTACAAGAAGAATGGAGAAATAGAGTTTAGTGAGATATGTGGAATGAATTGGTCTCTTTGTAGCCTCTATTAGATAAATATTCTGCAGGGCTGACTTGAGAGCGGAGAAGCTTATCTGAAAAAGGAGGGGGCAAAAGAGGCAGGTAGTGGAGTGAGAAAAAAAGGGAGATAAGAGATACTGGGTTGGGGAAAGTGAGGTGTGTAAGGAATGAGGTGTCAGATAGAGGAAAGCCTGATTTTCACTCTGCTCTTGATGAATTTATACTTTAGCGGATCAAGCAGGAAGGCCTGAGCAGGTCAGCTGTTAAGGAGAGTGTGTTTGTTCTGAGGAAGGGGAGCAGGATGAGAGGCTGAGGGTGTGTTGGGAATGTGGAGGTGATGGGGAGAGCCTTAAGTGGATCCAAGTTCCCTGCCAGCCTCTGAAACATTAAACTGCTGCTGACCTTCCAGGCCACGATATGCCTGGAAATGGTAATGGAAGGAACACTTCACCTGAATGATGAACATTTTAGATAAAACACGTTGGGGAAAGTGAAACTTACGGTTGTGTTTGGGACTGTGCAGATGCTCCATGGGTGGGAAATTAGAGGCTGAAGTGTCTCTGGCAGGCATTAGTGGTGTTGGAGCTTTTCTTGCACTCTTGCTGCAGGGTTTTTGGAAGTGAAGGCTCTGAGTTTTGGGGACTGAGGCTCATGGAACAGGAAGGAGGACACAGCAGGGTTTCAGAGCAAGCCCTCATATGCTGCCTGGCTTTTGTCACGGATCAAGACATTCCTTCCCAGTAAACCTCATCTACACAGGGAAGCTACTTATGTGGCAGAGGAGAGGGGAAGAACATTCTGGGCAGCCTCTTTAAATCTATTGTAATAAAGGGATTTCTTTTCTTCCCTTAATATTTTCACATTGAGTCAGTGCATCCATAGAGAGTGGGCTCTGTGCCAGATCTCCAGCCAGCTGGATAATGCTGCTTTCCTGTTCTGCTTGCTGCTGGAAGTGAGGGTCAGCTCATGTCCCTGCCGTGCTGCTGGAGTGACCACAGAGCCTCTGTGGCAACTGAGTGCCCTCGAGGGCTCTGGAGGGTGGCCGTGCTCCAACTGTGTGGAGCCAGCCCTTGTGTGTTGAGGGACAGGGAGGAGCAGCAAGGCCCAGGGGTAGGAGGCAGGTGAAACTTTGGGCATTGTGGCCTTTGGGGCCAGAGAGGCCTGGGGGCTGCAGAGCGTTTCCTCAGGTGATTCCTACCAAGGTGGGACTCAGCAGTGAAGCAGCATAAATGGTGGCTCCTGTCCATTCCCAGCCAGTGTCGGCGCTCCCCTCAGGAACCCTCTCCTTTGGCTGAAGGTTGGATAGGGCTTGGAGCAGCCTGGTCTTGTGGAAGCTGTGCCTGCCTGTGGCCAGGGAGAGCTGGAACAAGCTGATCCAACCCAAATCATTCTGGGATTTTGCGAAGAACCACAATGCAGGTGCCTGCACTTGGGACACCAGTAAGGCTTGAAAGGAGATCAAAGCCTTACAGAATAACCTGTCCCCAGAGACAGTTTTCTGTACCCCCAAACTATTAGAGATTTGAGTAAATTTAAATTCTGAATATTTTTCTGTGTATCTGACTTGGACCCCTGTCAGGAGTTGAGTTTCTTTGTTATGTTACAGTAAGAAATTCCCAAGCTAAATGGAAATTTGGATGAAAGTTAAACCTGTTCATTGCATTTATGATTTGTCTCCCCTGGGCTTCAAGGAACACTCTGGTGCTTGTGTTAAGAGCAAGGCGAGTGGGAAGTTTCCTCTTTCCACGCATCTTGTAGTTTGTGAATTTCTATCGTGGTTTCATTTGTTTGCTTTCTTTTAGAAAGTGATGAGAGAGTAATTTTTGAGTAATTTTGTCTAATTCTTGGGCACTTTAAATCCTGCCATTTCCCTTTAGAGGTAAAGGGACCTAGGCTGACATGGGATTCAGATGAATGTATTAACTCCTTTAACAGCATTGAACCATAAATAACTGTATTTTACCTACCTACACTGTGTTGATGATTGAACATTGAACAAAGGTTGTCTTTGCCTTTGTCCAGTGATGCCTAACGTAGCGAGGGGGTGTTTGTGCATAAAAGGTAAGGACAAGACCAGTTTGTTTGAATTAGAGTCTGGTTAAGGGTAATTGATTTTTCCATCAGACCCCTGAGTTAATAAATACTCATCAAAGTGAGTTTTTCTGAGGTAGGGACTGCTCTTGAGGCAGTAGTGAGTGAAAATACTGGTGGATGCTTTAGGCTTTGGATGTCATTTGGTACTAAATGGAGTTTGGGCAGAGACAGAATCCGTGTCACTGCTGGTGTGGGCAAATTGCTCTGAGTGCTCAGCCCGGGCTCAGCAGAGTCTCTCCTTGCTGTTACCTAGATGGCATCTCAGCATCTCCTCAGGCTCAAGAGTTTCTTGAAGTGTGAATCTCACAGAACCAGGAAATGTCCTCAGCTGGAAGGGACCCACAGGGATCAGAGTCCTGCCCCTGGCCCTGCACAGACACCCCAACAATCCCACCCTGTCCAAACGCTCCTGGAGCTCTGGCAGCCTCGGGCCATGCCCATTTCCTGGGGAGCCTGGGCAGTGCCCAGCACCCTCTGGGGGAACAGCCTTTCCCGATTTCCAGCCTAAACCCTCCTGACACAGCTACAGCCGTTCCTCAGTCCTGTCCCTGCTCACAGAGAAAAGATCAGAGCTGCAGCCCCCAACGAGGGCTCCCCTCTTCTCCAGGCCAAACACACCAAATGCCCTCGGCTGCTCCTCGCGTGGCCCCTCCAGACCCTTCACCCTCCCTCTTGGCAGGACCCATGCTCCAAAGGAGAATAACGGTTTACAAATGCTTTGGTTTCACGTCTGGGGGCTGGGAGATGAGGTAATAGCTTGAATTCTAGTAAGTGATAAAAGGAAATGCTGTCCCTCACCAGGGCTCTAGGAGCTGGAGCAGTTCGCTGTAAGTTTGTGTGTGATGAGATGACAGCATTGTGCTGAGTGGTCTGAAAGGGAGAGTTTGGGAACCAGGGAATGTATGGGATATTTAACCTGAAAAGTCAGGTGCAAGTCAACGCTGTACCTGTGTTTGGTTTCCTTTAGCTTTATCTAAACAGACAGAAACAGCTGGTGCTGTGGTTGGGTGGCTATCACTCCTCCTCCACGGTTTCCATCTGATGTAGCCAGGACGAGAGCACGGCTCCCTGTTCCACCTCCTCTGAGGGCTTTCCTGACAGACACCCTCCAGCACTGTGCTGCCCTTCAGGGCAGTTAGTGCAGCACAATGAGGAGACCTTGGCAGCGATGTGGAACAGTCCCACACCCTGTCTTTGCAGCAGCAGGCAGTGTCTCTGCTTCCCAAATTCCAGGGCCTTGAAGTCATAGTGCTGCTCTCAGGAATGTGCTGAGCTCTGGCACAGGGGAATCCACAGCACATGCTGCCGCAGTGATGTTATTGCCACATGTGGCCCCAAGTACATAAAATTTCATATTCCTCTTGGGTTTTGCCTATTTTTCCCTCGTTCCAACAGGGAGACGAGGGGCACGGCCCCTCTGCCTCCTCTCCTGGCTTGAGGCTGCAGAAGGGGCTGGTTTGACACAATTCCCTTTCTCAGTGTGTGGAGGAAAGGAAAAGCCATTGGAAAAGGAGGAGAGCAGTTCCTCCTTGGATGTGGCATCCAGAGCTCAGGTAGGGCCTGGATTGACAATCAGGCACCATCCCGTAATGGATAGGAGAATCCAGAACAGGCTGAGAGCATTCCCAGAGCACTTAATAGAGAGCAGCTGAAACACTGTAAATCTGCCCCATTCCAGCTGTGCCTTACACTGATGAACGGGGCAGCCATGGTAGGATGGGATAACGGGAAAGCAGAGTACTTCCAGAGCAGCAGGAAAGAGCTTCCCTTTATCCATGGAGTGAACAGAGGAGGAGAGGGCTCCTCCAGAGGCAGTGTGCAGAGCTTAGGGCACCAGGGGAAGAAAGTTTCATCCCCCTTGTGACCTGGGAGTGTTTTGGAGGATCCCAAGGAACAAGTGCAGTGGGTTCTGGCATGTGAGGGTGAATGATTTGGAAAAGACTCTTGGCTTTCTCTGCCTCAGCTTTAGAACTGCAGGCTCCAGTGGGATGCTGAGGGATTCTCTCAGTCCAGGCCCACAGTTTGGAAGCATCAAGCAACCACACTTGGAACAAATTGCCGGGAATTTCGTCTATAATCAGGGGTAGCTTCAGCTCTCATTAAGAGCACGCTGTGCACTGAGCAGATTGGTGCTGCTTGCCCACGGCTGCCTCTTGGAATCGGCTGGAATGCTGGAGCGCCTGGGGAGCAGAGGGTCCCACAGCATTGATGGGGACCTTCCTCTGGAGCTGTTGTAGTTGTGGACATCCCTCACCTGCTCCTAAATGGGTCAGGATATACCCGAGTGAACAAAAGTGCAAGAGGGTTAAATTCTCTGGATCT